TGACCTGATTTACAGCGCTAGTAAGTAGTTGTTATATTGGTTTGCTTTACAGCCACATCATCAAGAGGCTTCAATCACCAGCATTTTGAAGACCTGAAGATTTTAATCTATACTATTGTATTTTAGCTAAGACTTACACACCTGCAACTCATAAGTTGATGATATCTCTTAGCCTCAAAAATTCAAAGACCTCTTTTTCACCTCAATCGTAATTTGACTGAATTTTTCCCGCAAAGCATGTATTTTCTCATCCTATACAGATGATGTCAAAATAATTTCATTATGTGAAACTACAGTATCAAAGCAAGAATCAGAAAAGCAAGACAAGCTTTCACTACTCATGTCAAGTCTGTGTGGAGGTCAACAACACTCAGCATCAAAAATAAGATCCGGATGTGAAGTCAGTGCTACTACACGGATCATAGACTTGCACTGCGCGTCATAAAGAGCATCTCAAGCAAACTACAGACCTTCATTAACAGTTGTCTTCGCTCAATACTCAAGATCAGATGGTCGGCCATAAAAGATCAGCAACAGGGATCTCTGGCAATGAGCGAACCAACTCAGCAGGAACCGATTGTGAAACAAATAGGCAGGAAGAAATGGAGATGGATTGGCCATACTCTGAGGAAACCATCAAGTGACATCACTAGACAAGCCATTGCTTGAGTGGAACCCGAAAGGGAAGCGGCGAGTTGGTCGTCAGTGCGAGGGTGGGTGACTTGGAGGAGGTCATGTGAAGAGGAGATGAAAGCATGTGGGGGCAGACTTGGAGCCAGGTGAAAACTCCAGCAGAGAACTGAACGCAATGGAGACGCAAGGCTGAAGCCCTATGTTCCTCTAGGAATTAAAGGAAACAATAATAATAATAGAATAATACAGTACTCCTTGTACCTCTGCTTCTAACCTGAATGAACAACATATTTGGCTTGCCGGTTTGATCATACAGTACTAATGCTGTGGAGACACTGGTGACCACCTGTGGTTTAGATGTAGTATTGTCTACGCATACATATCACATCTCGCATCTTAGAAGTGAAACAGAGCAGACATTTACTCAGCAAAGACATCTCAAAATGTCTATCTGAGTACATCGTTATAGCTGAAAGGTGTAATTAAGCTACAAGTATAAAACTTGGGCACTGTGGTAGAGTATAACTCCATAATGGATAAGATTTTATTTTGATAAATCACACAGTGTTGTACAGTAATATTAACTGATGACCACGTTTCGAGCACAAACTATTGCCACTCATAATCATATCAAGTTACTCACAGAACTTTTTCCTCCATTTATATACATGTGTGGAATTGACTAGATATTTGAATAAAAAATCAATATGAGATAATGTACATTCAGAGAAAATAATAATAATATGAGTGTTGTTGATCAAATACAATTAGATGGGAAATAAGACGAGTGTTTTTATAGTCATAATAAGTTACTTGTTAGAATGTTGTCATGTATTTGAATTGAAATAGAATTTCGAGATTATTTATTATCCTCCTCTGATTTGACTGACTGGTGGTAATAATATCTTCCATATTTCTGGTATTTGCATTGAGTCATTTCTGTTGCATGTGTTGGGTGTGGACTCGATGAACCAGTCAGGATTCAGTAATCAACCTCTCTCTCCACCTACCTATGTTACTCTATAGAATTTTAACCCTATTCCACCCTATTGTGTGGTTGTTAATACGTGAAGTGCAATTGCTGAGCTTTTTTCTAAATTACTTATCTTCTCGGGGTCAATCATTTTTCCCTTAGCTAAATTCTTATGTTCTGATACTCTGACTATCCCTGATCTACTAGTTTGACCTATGTAGTTGACCTAACTCACAGTTATTGCAGGGAATTTTGTAAATTATATTATTTTGTCTAATTGGGTCCACCGGGTCCTTCAACCTACAAAGTTTGTCTCTGAGTGAGTTTGTGGGTATGAATGCCACCCTAATTCCTACTTTATTGAGAATCCTACGTAGGACCTCAGATATCCCCTCCTAATATGGTATAACAGTAGATGACTTAAATTCTCTCTTATTTATGTTATTACTACTAGTTACACAATTATTTTTTATTTTGTTTTTGGCCTTTACTGATCTTCTTAACGAATTTTATAGGACTCAAAATCTGACTGACCTGTTAAAGCGGCACACCTTCACTTGCATCACAATCATAACGAGGCAGTACTTTTCAACTAGTTTAAATACACATAGTCTTGAATATATATATATATATATATATATATATATTTAAAACAATTAGTTCCCTTTATGAATTTAGATAAAGCAATAAGACGTAATTTGTCTGAAACGTGTAGTGTATTTACCAATTTGAATGTACGTGTGGGCACACATACATAGGGAGGACTCATCGATCTCTAAGGGCTTCAGAGAATATTCCTAAATGGCTCCAGAAACAAATAGAATCTTCAGAACCCATTAATGGTGAGAACAGTAGATCTAACTCCTCTATTGCGAAACATATTATAGAGACAGGACATAAAATTGACATTAACAGATCGTTTAAACCTATCTATAAAACGTGTTTGGGGCGTATCCTAAAGTTTGTGGAAGCCCTAGCAATTAGAAAGTTTAGGCCACCTTTATGCGTTCAAAAACGATTCGTCATGACATTAAACCTTCCTTGGTGAATTTTGTTTTGACACTAGTCAGGGCAGATGTGCTGTTACCTCTGTTATTTGGTTTAGTGGTCTTCATTGTCACTTTGACCTTGAATATGTCCTTTTAACTTGACCTAAATCTATTTTCTCACTTCTTACCTCTTTATTCATTTCATATATATTCCTATTGTAACAGCAGAAGACAAGGGCCAGGCAACAGATCGTTTATTACGGAAAATCAACACGTATTTATAGATTTTGATGTACATTATTGTAGATTAATGTTAGTAGAAAATACAGTCTGTTGATTGGTTGTTTCTCACACAAAGTTAACCTTGCATCTCTTGTGGCTGTGTCAGTTCATCTATATGTTAACTGTATCCGCCTGTTCATCTTGACCTTGACCTCAATTACTGTCAACCAATTTGGCTAGCAACCATCTCTCACCACACTATGACAAGTCCGTGTGTGATGGATCAGATTGTTCGAAATGTGTTGCGCAAATACATTACACGATTCAGACAAATTACGTCTTCTTATTGCTTTATATATACATATATATGTCAGGTTTTTGAGTTCAAATTACTGTCTTATAAGCTTGAATACTATGAAATGCTATTAAATTCCAATTATAAAAAGAATAGAATAGCAACGAATTAATTGAGTGAAAGTCAATCTTTGATAAGAAAGTCAGGCATAAAATACCTTGGAATAGTTTCTTCCTCTGACCTTTTTTGGTCATCCTATATCTCATCGATTTCTCTTGCATCTTACCTATCGTTCTTTATCGCCTCCCCCACCGCACCCTGCGTTAGTCTTTCGTAGGCTACTTAAAAACGACTGTATCATATTTCGAAGGCTATCAGTAGAGCAGGTAGTGTGCCACTAAGTCAGCTGTTTACTACAGTCGGTCGGTCGGTTTTCGACATAGAACTTTGCACATATGAGCGGCAGTTCAAGTCGCCACACTCCCTCCATGTAGCACACAAAGCAAGAGAAGAAAGTAGAAGAAATGCATAGTATACACAGTAAACAGAGGTGTGAGACAAAGGAGCAGTAATAACGGAGAACAAAACAGTTTAATTGAAAATCACAAGTCACAAGGAGTGGATGCATCTGCGCCACTGAGAACGATTTTGAGCTATGTCACCAATTGTCTCGAGGACCCCAACCAAGAAGTCTGCATCTTCCTACGTGGCTTAAGCTAACTGTTGTGGATTTCATTGACTGGTGCCGTGTTTTCGTTTGACCACCGCTAGCTCTTTTCCAGCCTGACCCTATATCAGCTAACATTGCCCATTGTCGAGGAAGGCGATGACTAGGCATACGTAGCACATGTTCTAACCATCTCAGTCGATGTAATTTCACAGTTTCGTCGACTGATTTCCCCGCCTTACGTAGCACTCGACGCCTAACTTCAATATTGCTCACCTTATTATACCACTTCACGCGCACTTTACTACAGTAGTCGACAGGCATCTGACTCATGTGAAAAATCTATATTGTCTGACTCTCACAACATCCTCTTAATTCATAACTCTCCCCCACCCACTGATAGGATCCTACACACTTTGTTATTGTTCAATTATCTTAACGACTGTTAATCTCTCATAAGTGGTATATCATCATTTCCCACGCATTTTGTTATTGACTATTACGACCAATTATTTCAAATACTGTTAGCTGTCTGTATTGGTTCTAAAAATGTATAAATACCATTTCCTAAATAAGTTTCTTTGTCGTAGTTGTTGTACTACAATACACAGTCAGAGACCAGACTTTGTCTTTTGATATTTGCGTTGTTCGCTGAATCGGAAGGTACCAGAAGCAGATAGGCATATTAGTCAGGCGCAGACAGAACAAGGCGACAACGTCCTCATTTAATTCCCCTACAGTTATAACACCCACACACACACTTGCATTTCATCCAGTAGGACTAGAAGTCATCATACAGGATTGTATGCTCAAACAATTAAGTACAAAAACTCAACGACCGCGTTCTAGATGATAGAGAAAGTGTAAAGCGTGAAACTTATAACAACTTACTATGTAATTAGTAAAACAAATGCCTCTTTTACCTTGTCCTATTTGTAATTAGTAGTGGTAAGATTATTTTAATTATTTTATAATTTTATTCAGTAATATTAATATATTATTATCATCAGTTTACACTTTTCGTACACTTTTGAACTTATTGTCACTACTAATGCCAAAAAGTTGCTAATATCAATTTTGATTACCAATACCCTGTAATATATTCGCTTTGTCGTTGAACAAATTAGATACAATATTGTAACAAATGCTGAGAATTCCACGCTACGCTATATATAACAAGCAAATTATTATTATCATTATGATTAAATCACCAAAACTCACTAGATTCCATGGGATTTGGATCACAAAGTTGACTGAAAGGGAAATTCACCAAGCTCGGAAATGATGGAGTACTACTTTGTTTGTGTGCACCGAACTCCGATAATTGGGCAAGTGAATTGAAGGCAAACAATCTAGCGATATTATTCATTTTTGTCGCTAGATCAGAATTTTCTTCATTTTGTAATATGCTATCGACGTCCATATTAAAGGGTAGCGTGGATTGATTATCATTTCGAATGAAATTCTGTAAGACAGTTGTAGCTGCTTTTATAACTGGAATACTAAGATTATCATCTGTTTGTACAAACAAAGGTTTAATTGGCGCTTGGACACTAATTGGGATGAAGGCGTTCCGGTAGTGTTCCAGTGTAGATGGAGAATAATTATATAGAGTTGGAACGGTGTTTTGTTCACTAATTTTTGCCTTATTACACGTAGTAGTAGTAGTAGTAGTAGTAGTAGTAGTGTCGTTTGTTTCTCCAGAAGCAGCAGGAGGGAGAGCAGCAGCGGTAGGTTGAACATCAATTACTTCACTGAAAGGTTTCCGCTCAAATCCTTTGGATTCTAGACAGGATGAATTAAGCGCTTCTGTAACTCTTCTTATAAAGTGAAAAAGAGAAGAAAAAAGGGAACAATGAAACTGATGACCAGTACATGAATAATATTTTAATTGATTTTTCTATTATAGCTTGAAACCACACAGTATTTTTGGTACAAGTATGGAATTTTCAGCATGCAATATCGGTAGCCCAAATTTTGCAGGCCGACCATTGATATCAGGTATGCGCCGGTAATGGATCAAACTCCGGACTATGTTCATGGTCGGCGAGAGTCCTATCCGCTGTGCCACCGACGCACGGAGTAAAGGGAGGACCGTGAGGCCTCCCCACTGACAAAAACTACACACTCAAGCGCACCCGATTAGGGTCCGTCGTGAGTTTTAACCTACCGAAGTGCAATGGTGAGGCTCCACCCGGGGTCAGAGCATTCTTGATCACCCTGAACCCGCCGCCAGGTAAGTCTGGAATATAATAATATTGTAAGTAATAATATTGTTTGGAATTGGATCCTATACTTTTTTTAATCAATGAAAACATAGTTGGAAGTAAGACGGTAATGTCAGGAAGACTACTTTGACTGTACTTCTTCTCGCATAACTCAAATATTAATCCGTAGGAAAATTAAAAGAATTTTGAACTCTTCGTAGGTATATGCTGAAGTGCCTAGATCAGCTTTTAAAACTCTTCTAATTGTGATGGAATGGAGTATGTGGCACACTGTGCACGGGGAATGAGAATACAGAAATACGTTTGGAGATCTAGACTTCGTGGATGATTTATTTCTAATGTTACACAAACTCGAAGGCTTACAGGCGAAAACAAAAAAGTTGCCATAAGAAGCAGCAAAGACAGGACTCCAGGTGAACGTAGAGAAGATGGAGGTGATGAAGATAACCAACCGACGACAGCAACAACAACAACAATCAGCACCAATCGCTATCAACGTTGGAAATTTGGAAGAGGTCACTTTCTTCACTTATCTAGGCAGAATCATAGCCAACACATGTGGTTGGCACGGATGATGATGTCAAAAAAAGCCAGAATCGGAAAGGAAAGGGAGATATTCATCACTCTGAAATCAATTTGAAAATCTTCTGCACTCAGCACAAAGGACAAAATCCAAATTTCCAACATCAATCTTAAGTCAATCAGTCAGAAGCTTGGCGCGCGAGTCACAAGAAGCATTTCCAACAGGCTACTACAGAAATTTATTAACAACTGCCTTCGTTCGATCCCGAAGATCAGATGACCAGAGAGAAACAATTAGCAAAAGGAATCTCCCGGGACGAACTAAGCAAGTGACTATTGCTCAACAAATATTTTACGAAAAACGGAGATGGGTTGGCTACACTCTGAGGAGACCGTTATGTGACACCACGTGCCAGGCCATCACTTGAGTGGAAGTCGAATGGGAAACGATGAGTTAGGTTGGGTCTGAGGGTAATATGGAGGAGATGGTGTGAGGAGGAAATGAGAGACTATGGGCAAACTTGGGGCCAGCTAAAGAGGACCGCAAAGATTAAGACAAAGTAGAGAGGTGCTGTTGAAGCCCCAGATTGTACTCTGAACCTAAGGGAACAATAATGCTAATAATAATACAGCACAAATATATGGTCTAAAGAACGACCACGGATCAGAACTAAGTTATCAATAATGTAAATGGTCATTAATTGATGAGCATAAACAGTACTAACGGATTTGTGACTCAGTCAGCTGTAGTGGACATGAAACTGTGATTAAGAGTCTTGTAGATGCATTTTTCATATTACTGGCGCTGTAACTACGCCAAAGAGCAATGATAAGTTTGTTGTATCTTAAATGATTCGTATATAAGTTATAGAAAGAAAGAAAAACAAACAGAAAGGTAGAAATTCAGTTATGCATAAGGGAACCCTTTGCAAAACATATGAACCCATGAATTCTTCCAAAAGAAGTGTTGATTTGCCTGGATGGAACAATTGAAAGCTCTGTTCAAAACTTAATGCTCCAGTGTAATGACCAATCCCAGTGACCAGTTTGAAGTGGCTGGAGGGAATTACAATAAGTAAGTGAATTCTAGCTGGAGATATACTCGACTACATACATCAAGCATTTTTTTCGCAAAATGTTCTGATCAATACAACTTTGTCGTCAGACAAAACATGTTGAAAATGCGACAGTAGTATGCACTGATATCACATCCTGACTCCCTTAAAGTGTAGATATCTAAGATGACATTTTTCTTGCTTAGTACAAACCATATTTCAAATTTGGCGAATCATTTCGTTATTTCTAAACCTTCGGTTCATTGAATCAAGCAAATTCAAATTGTGAGTTATGAGCTTTGGTCCAATTTCAAATAGAATAACAATGCACAAAAAAAGTAGAATGCTTTTCTGCTTAGTATGTTGAATTGCAAGTGATTATCAAGTCACGTGGTTTAATTTGTGTAAGTGTTGGTGAACACCAGTTAGTATCAAACAACCTAGTATATTCGAATTCCTTTCCACTTTGTTGGGGTTGCGAATTCTTCCTATAGCTTCTTAGTTTCTAGTTGACAGAAAACTGCAGCAATATGATCAAAGTATTACTGTCTTTTATAATAACACACATTTACAAGCTGTATAGATTCCACTTAACTGTGCCAAATTTAAATCGACTGTGATATCCATTGATCACTCCTAAGTTTTACAAACCAACCCTGTTATATTTGGTCTCTTTGTTGAGTTAATTATAAATTTATTTATCATTCGACAAGCTTTTTATACTGTATGTGCTGAAGTTGATTGGATTTTTATGTGGTGCTCTAACTTTGAGATAATTACTGTCTTGCGGCAATGTCAGCTCCTTACCTAAGCAGGAAACTACTAAGCTAAACGTAATTCGATGAAGCACCCTTAAAACAAGGTGCTGAATAGTATTCTACGGTAGAAATCTCACGTTTACACATTTATGAACTCATTTATCTTGGAGAAAAGTTAAAAACCATAGTCTTGTATATTAAAGCTACCAGCAAAATGAGCGAAAAATAGAGGTATAATTAAATTAGACGACAAAATCTATTGACGATGGTTACCAAAAGTAATCTAATTTCCAACTAACACTGAAGTTCCGAAAAATACAAATATCAATTAAATTGCAATCTGATATACACAGAATTGGCTTGCATTCACAAAATCTTTTACAAAAGAAGACGAAACAGCCTAAGTGCAACTCATGTTGAAAAGACTCTCACTCAAACACAGATATCAATAAAAGATGACTAACCATATTGAAAGTATGTTCGAAAATAGGGACAAAAAGAGTGATGTAAAAAATAAAAATGAGTGCAGTGGGCGGATGCCCACCCAACTTAACAGATAGTCCTTAAACCACTTATTTAATGGTTGCGAAACGAACAGAGTTTAGGAGAGAAGGAAAATACAGCTGCACAGGAACTGGAATTACGTACACAAAATCTACAAGCTGTGTATAAGTCCTGAAATTTATTGAAAATATCAATCAGAAATTCAAGTTATAGAGTTTGTCATAGGCTTCACAATATAAATATATATCTTTCCAGAGAAACTGAAGTACATTTTCTTGGAATCCAACATATACGATACAAAAAGATTTATTCAATTTCGTGGCTATCCTTACATATCGCCACTTATTAAGGTGACAGTTTATGCCAGCGGCAGCCAAACATGTGAATTCCGGCGATGAAAAGTTCATATATTACAGAATTTAACCGCCTTGTGTCACTAATAAGTCACTGTGATATCCCATCAGTTAACATCAGTATTCAAAGGGAACAAAATGCTATTAGAACTCAGGTTTCATTATGCAAGTTTTCAGTAAAGTCCAATTCCAAAGGGATTTTGAACAGTTCCCTGAGGTAAACAAAACGCCCCACAATCAGTTTTTAATTACTAGTCACTAATGTGAGCACTTTCCAAGTTTCATTAGGGATATTTTGATACGTTACTGATCACCTGTGACACCTTCGGAGGTGTCTCGTATATCGAGTAATGACTTTGGAATTGCTCGAGCCAATTTATTCCTCGTAACTTCAACCGACTATTCAGAGAACATCACTTTAGAGTTTTAGAAAGTGGCCAGATCACTTTCATCTGGGAGTCCTAATTGAGCAGAGAACCAGCAAGATCCTTTGCCGGAGTACGTAGATTAGGAATCACTTACTATTCTCTTTGGAGACCAAGTGGCCGAAGGTGACAAGTGAATAGGAACCCCAGTAGCGAAGTGGCCAATAGGCATTTGCCCAAAAATTATGCCGGACGAAGTGGAGACGAAACTGATGCACCCTGAGAAGGCATTCAAGTGACATCACATACCAGGCACCCATGTGGAACGAAAATGGGGAGCGACAGGTTGGGTTTCCGAGAGTGACATGGAGATTATGTGAAGGGGAAAAGAAAGTTTGTGGTTAGCCATGGTGTCAGTTGAAAGTGATAGTGAAGGACTGGGTGCGATGGAATGTTTGTTCCATTAGGGACGTGGGGATTGGATAGCAACGTAGCAACACTATTAATACCAGAGATCAGTATACGCTTCTCAGTATGATTCATGTCCCTGGGAAATAAAACTAATTAATGTTTCTGACTAACAACTTAAACCTATGAATTATAACATAATCATAGAATGCCTTGGAAACAAGAACGGGGAACACATACAGGGTGAGAAAACATTCAAAACACAAAGAGGTGAAAACAATACTCACCGAACACTTTGTTCATTGAAAGCCAGTGCAGTGTCCCCAAGTCTAGTGATGTCATGTGGAGACCGCCAGAAAGCTCTTTTCTTAGGGTGGCAGAAAGATTCTAGTTCCACCACCTCTACAACAAGCACTATATTAGTACTCGGGAACCTTAGTTTACATCTGAAGCAATAAATGTGAAGATAATACTTTTATTGAGGCAACTTACCCATCGGATAGCAAAACAAAATCTGGTCTATTCATGTGAAACAATCCATCGATAAAAATTCCGTTTTTGCTGAGACACCTGAGATAGATGTCTTTGTTTTTTCTGTGTATTTCCAAATGTTTGCGAGATACGCATTCAGAATCGTTAAGACATACGTCGACAGGAACATGACTTTTGCGACCAATTGTTATTAATGTCTTTTCAGAAACGACTGTACATGAAGGTCCTGTGATTTTTATGGATATTTTTCTAATGTCGATCATAAGTCTTTCTTCAGGCGTATACTACAAGGTTAACTCCATCGGCTTCAAAATACCCCTGGAAGTTGTAGGTCATTGCCCAGGCGCATCAGAAAGCTTAAACAAAATCACACTCATATTTAAAATCTGGAAGCAAGACAATTAGAAGCCTCTGCTAGTTCTTTTTAGTAAACATATATATTTACACAGCTACTTCCTGGGGCACCAACTCAAGAAGCATGGACCACTTCTCCTGGATGTCACTCAATGACTAGACTAATATATCATGACTGTCTCGTTTAACTTATGCGTCCCTCGAGAAGTCCTAAACTAGTTTTTTTCAAAACAGGGAGTATATAAGGCCCGAAGAAACTGCTTAACAACTCGCAAGTCACCATCGGACCTCCACAGTACCTAACATGCAATAAAGATCAGATATTCGCCCCCTGCCAACATCCGTCGTAGTAAGAGGAGGTCATATTGTGGCTTCTAAGATACGATTACGGGTTAAAAATATCCAAGTTAAACTAGATACGGATGAGCTGCACAAAGCTCATTCGTCCCTAGTCTAGGCCTGTCAACAAATGCTGCTTAACAACACTTCGTGATGACATTCTGCGTAGAACGACCTCTTAAACTGTTCTATCAGGCTTCGTTTTTTGCATCCCATATCCTTTATCCTGTCTACGAGCTTGTATATACCAGTGATTTCTTTGAGCTCGCTTCTTGATTGTAAGGTAGAGGTTCCAGATCTTCGGTGAACTTATGCGTAGTAAGTCTCACCACTCGACTGCTTTAGCTCTGGTAGACTCCAAGAGGAGTGGTTCGGGGATTGGTCAAAATGTGGTTTGTAGTGGTCAGTATGTTAGGACTGAGTTTCTGCCGTGAATGGAGTTTGACCTAACTCCCGTTGGTCATTCGGTGTAGTCATAAAAGCAGAATAGTAATAATAATAGTTTGTAGTGTAGATAATATAGGTTGAGATAAGTGAAATAAGAAAGGTGACCTAAGGAAAAGATAGAGTAGTCGGTACAGTGAGAGAAGACAGAACGGGTCATGGGGATTTAGCTTGTATGCTTATCCATTCACAGTGTGGTTTCAAATTTTAAGAGGATAAGCCATTGAAACACAAACCTTGCATTTCTGCATGATTGTCCAGCTTCCGCTTAAAAGTTTCCACAGATGGCGCTGTAGTCACGGCCGCCGGTAAAGCGTTCCAGAGACGGCAAACTCGAAGCGAAAAGAAATGTGAACGCGCTCGAGTCTTTGGTCTCTGGTGTGCTATCCTTAGCGGGTTACCTCGTGGAAGCCTATAATCACTTAATGGCAGGATGCTTTTATTTGGGTGGGCCTGGTCATTTCAGATCTTGTAGGCGGTGATGAGGTCTCCCCTGTGACTACGGTAACTAAGCGCGAAAAGACTTAATTTCTTCAATCTTTCCTCATATGATTTGTTGCGGAGGCCGATCGCCCATTTTGTCGCTCATCTCTGGACACTTTCTAGCATGTTAGCATCCCTTTTGAGTAGCGGAGGAGCAATGATATTATGCACCTCAAGGTGTGGCCTCACGTACGTCTTATACAACCTTAAGAATAGTTCAGGAGTAAAAGCTCCCAGCTGCCTATGCATAAAGTGTAAAGTTGCGTAGGCTTTGTCGACGTCCCTCGTGTAATTTACACTGGTGTCTAGCTTTTCTGTTAATATAAGGCCTAGATCGCGTTCCGATGGCACACAACTCAAGTTCTGGCCAACAAGGGTGTGATTTGCACTCTGTGACCTGCCGGAATGAAGTTGCACTACTTTGCACTTATTTAAGTTGAAAGGCATTCCGTTAGCCAGAGCCCAGTCTCCCAGAGTTTGCAGGTCAGCCTGCAATCTGTCTGAGTCTTCCGGTGAGTTTATTGCCCTCCAAATCTTTACGTCGTCAGCGTAAAGAAGCGCAGAGCAGTTCAGTTGACAGGGCAGGTGGTTGACAAAAATCAAAAACATCAACGGCCCTAAGATAGAACCCTGAGGAACCCCTGATGCCGAGGTGTGCCAGGATGATCGGATGCTGTTGACTTTGGTGCAGAATTCTCTCTCGCCTAAATAATCTTCCAGCCATGCGAGAAGTGCTCCAGAAACACCCGCTTTGCTTATTTTCTGAAGGAGCAGACCACGGTGAACTGTGTCGAATGCTTTCGCAAAGTCGAGAAAGATCACATGGACTGGTACCTTTACATCCCAGGATAGTGTCCAATCGTTCCAAGCTAGTGGAAGATTCGTCACTCAGGATCTTCCCCTCCTGAAACCGTGCTGTGCTTCATGGAGTAGGTTAGTCCCGTCGAAGTATTTTCTCATGTGGTCGTCAATGAGACTTTCCAATATCTTCGATATCACTGGAAGTAGCACAACTGGTCTGTAACTGGTCGCATTCTGCCGGTCACCACCCTAGAAGATAGGGGATAGGTTGGCTCGTTTCCATTCACATAGAAGTTTCCCTACATCAAAGGAGTGTTGAAACAGATCACTGTGGGTTTGGCAGAGACTTTCTGAACACTGCTTCAGGACGGATGGTCTTATGTCATCGCAACCTGCAGGCTTTCCCGAAGCCAACTTTCCCAATTTTACGAGTACCATAGCCGGGGTAATTTGAAGTGTACCCAGCAGGTTTTCGCGCGTTGGTTTTGCATTGTAATCTTGATGCTTTGTGGGGGTAATGTCCTCGTCACTGTTTAGTTGCCTGTAAAAGGCTAGACTGAATGTCTCTGCCATTTCAAGACTAGTAAGAGATTTCCCATCAGAACCCACTAGATTGCAAGCTCCGAGGTTGGTCGGTTTCCTTTCAGATATAAACCTGTACAGGCCATCGGGGTTCACGAGAAGCTTATTGGCGAGGTTTCTCTGAAATGTCCTTCTACCACTCCGGACTCGTATGTTACATCGATTCCTCAGCTCAAGGTACACTTCATGTTCGTATGACTCTTCTATACTCGCCTCGCAAACCAGGCTTTCCGCTTCGCCTGCAGAAGGCTTTGTGTCCCCCTTTTTAGCCATGAACGTTGCTTCCTGGCTTGTGGTGTGACTAAACGAACAGTGTCTGAGACCGCCTGGTGAATGATCTCCTTTGCCACTCCCCAGTGTTCTTCGACTGTAAGCTCTGTTCAATTTTTTGGCCAGTTTGCTTCAGATAAAAGTCTTCGCATTCCGGTGTAATTGGCTTTGTTGTAACACAGCTAGGGCTGTGTATTGTCCCACTGTAAACGCTCGCGGAGGACTATGTCGAATACTATGACCGCGTGGTCACTACTACCTATGGGAGTCGTGATCTGAACGTTTTCCACTAGTAGCTGGTCACTAGTGAGCACATAATCCAGTCTAGAAGACTTCCAATCTGGGCCCCATCTAGTATCCATTCTGACATTTCCAGTGAATCCGGTCTCCCTGATGGTATGCAGCAGATTTCGATCAAATATATTATGGGCGTATCCCGACATCAAGTGAAGAGGTGGGGCATTGAAGTCGCCAGCTATGACAATTTGATCATAACCCACGTCTTGTATCGCAGAAATTGTATTTAGCAGTATCTGGTTGTGGTCTGCTCCACATGAAGGTGATCGATAAATGCTGCCCACTAGATATTTGCAGTACCCAACGGTGAAATGGCACCATATGGAGTCAGGGAGCTCAGTGAGAGGAGGGTCTATTGCGTGTACATATCTGAGCTGTTTGTCGACGTATATGGCGACTCCACCTCCTTCTTTCAGGTCGCTATCTCGCCTGACTAGGACCATATCATTTATACTGACTTCGCTGTCTGTCACCGTAGGGGTTAGCCAGGTTTCCGTTAGTATTATGATTTTGGAGTCCAGCTGTGATTGTGGGTTTCTAAGTTCAGCTATTTTGCCTCTTAACCCTCTTACATTACTGTACAGGCAACTGGTAGTCAGTCTTACCACGTCCCCGTATTGGGGGCTGGTTGACTTGATGTGGACTGTCGGTTGAGGAGTCATCCTACGAACTAGTCTGCCGATTCCTCGGGAACCGGCCCGTTGGCGTTTTTTCCTCTAGTTCAATCGTAGCACTTGGATGACACTGGCTATCATCGTCCGTGCTGCACCACTGTATTGCGACTAAGGGTTGGGGATTTTCTTTGACAACACATTGTTCTCTCCTTTGGATACGAGGCCGGCTCTCGCAGCAGCGAATGTGTCTGCTGACCTTGTCCTTGGTCTCGTACCACCTCTGGAGAGCAGTAGTCAAATGGTCTCGGGAGCTGAACTTGACAGCTAACAGACGTGGCGTGTTAGTTGACATAAGGTGAGTGGGTCGAGGCAGTCTATAAATGGAGACAGCCCCTGAACTTCCCAGAGCCATCTGGGATGCTAACCGTCTCCAACGACAAAAAAACAAATATTACATAATAATAATAAAACGTTGTTGTAGCACCTATGTAGCAATCACAGTATGCATAAAGTATGAAATTGTAGTAATAATAGTAAGAACAACTAAAATAAAATAGCGAAGTCGTAATTAAACGGTAGAAAGTGTGATACTATAAAATTACAGAAAGATGAACGATGAAAGAGTCGATTCACTTTGCTAATAACATAGTAACTCATTTGTTTCACGTCTAACAGTGTCCTCATCCAAAAGGGGCTAAATAGGGTACTGTAGAATTTTTGTACTTAGTGGTGCGAGCATATAACATCTTAGTTGTGAATAAAGGGGGTGCAGGGGGTCTGACAGTACGGCCTTTGCCCATTTTGCACAGAATTTTATATGTCTCGCGACTATGATATTGGCGAGCTCACGCAGTGGCATACCACAAGCCCCACTCACAGCATTTAATACCCTTCATAACATTATACAGTCTTTTTTGAGAAGTCCAGGAAAGATTAATGGAGAGCAATAGAGAACAATAGGAAAAATACAGGAGTTCACAAACTGCAGAAGTAAAGGTTGGTTGATACCTGATTGTCTTAACTTTTTAATGTAGAAGGTAAGACGAAACATTTTCTTAGAGATCAATAAGATGTGGGATGACCATGAAAGGTCAGAGGACAGAACTAATCCAAGGTATTCAATGCTTGTCTTGGTTTCAATTTCTGT